AAGGACGAGATGAACCCTGCACAGTAGAAGCCGGAAAGTTGGAATATCATTATCATAATCTTTTTAAGGTAAATTATAGGGGATCCTGCCATTATTCCATATTCCAACTTTCTGGAGTTCCCTTTAAGGCTTTGTGGCAAAAAAACTTGATGGTTCAATGAACATTATGGTTCATTTTGAACTCTGAGCCCCTAAACCCTACACCCCTAAAGCCATAAGCTTTATGGTTCATATTAAACCGTAAACTCACCCTTTTTTGAACCCTAAGCCCCTAAACCCCTAAAGCCTTAAGCTTAAAGTCACCCTAAATCAACTCATGGTATAACGGTACAGGGCCCCTACTGTGAAGGAAGCTTCTGGGCCCACAGCATCGGCCGCCAACCCTATTTGGAGGTTCAGGGGTAGTTATAAGGGTCCCTTGAAGGGTCCCTTGAAAGGGATCTATAGGGGTTTATGGTTTAGGGTTTTAGGGTTTAGGGTAGTTATAAGTGGTTATGAGGCCCCTAATATGGGTTATAAGTATAGTTAGCCTACTTATAAGCCTGCTTATAACTACCCATGAACCTCCACGTACCTATAGTCTCCGTTGCAATTCTTTTCTGGGTGCTGCCCCCATACAGTAAGAGTCTGTAATAGGGCAACTATTAAGGTCCTAATATATATATATATATATATATATCTAGATTATGAATATTATTCAATGTCAACTATTACTGAGTGGGGGCCGTACCCAAGTTATCTTTCAGGATTCGAACTATAGAGTTGGGTACACCAAACAGGGAGCTACCATGGAAACTATAGGCAAGTACTCGCAATTTCGGGACTTGGGTTCCTTTCTGGGTACAAAAACCATAGACAGCAAAGAAGGACCAAAAGGGTCCAAGTACTCAATATTATAGGACTTTTATTTTGGGACGTGTTAGCTCCCAAAACCATAAATGAGGACTACTTGGACCCTTAAGGGGAGGTTACTGATGCTCCCATGTTATACGTCCAAGGCCTGGGACAGCTCTTGCTGAAGGGCGCTTCGAAGTGAGGCCACGGCGTGGCGTTGTCTGGGTCGAATGGTCCGAGCGTAGTGGTACTGTTGGGTGTATATCGGGTTCGTTTAGGGTGTGTAGTTTGGGGAACTCCAGAAAGTTGGAATATGGTTTCAGGGTAGGATACCTTATAATTTACTATACAGGGTTTAGGATAATCATATTCCAACTTTCTGGCTTTTCCTTTAGGGTGTGTAGTTTGGGGATGGTCTGGGTTCAGGGCTGAGGATCTACTTTGGGATTGCGGAGTTTATCTCCATAAACTGAAGGTAAACAACGGGCTTGCACATGAAGCTTAGACTAGCTTTTGGATTATGTCAAAGTAAACGTACAGATATGGCTGGCTAAGATAAACTGAGATCATGCATACCACTGACATCTTGCATTGCTGAAACAGGCGTGTCTAACGCAAGGTACGGGACGTGTCATCTGCGCTTCTATGTTGTTTTGAGCCTATAGACCCTACCTAGAACACCTAAGTGCTGAATATACAACCGCCTAAATCCTAGAACTTTCCAATATGCAAATGGTTGTCGTTGTCGTGATGGAAACCCCTAACAAATAAACTAACCCGAACCCTAAACCACTAAACCCTAAACTCCTAAACCATACCTAGAGGCTCATACCCTACCACTTTTTTAAGGTACCCCTATTTTCTATGTAAACTAGGTATCCTACTTAAAAAGGGGGTAGGGTACGACCCTCTAGGTAAACCCTAAGCCTAAACCCCTGAACCCCTAAACCCAACAGCCTCCGAGGAGCTTGTGTTACCCCAGCCATACTTCGGGGGGTTTAGGGTTTTAGGACGCTCAGGTTTGGGGTAAGGCCTGACGCGAAGTGCGAGGTTTGGGGTGTGATGTTTCAAGTCCCAGCGTGCCGTTTGCAAAACATCACTTGAGGGCTTCTATGCTCAGGTTAAGGGGAGGTTTGCTTTAGGCGTATCATGGTTAATCGGCAAGCCCAAAGTCATGCTAATGCTGCAAATGCCCAGTTTACACCCTACTAGGAAGCCCGATAAAACCTTAGACTAACCCAAGAACTTGCTAACTAAACCCGTCAGTTTCACCTCAGGAATGTTGCAGTCTTCAGCAAAGGGAATAAAACAACAAGGCCAAAGGAATCAGACCGCGTATGATTTATCAGTATCCCAAGAAAAGCCTGAAAAGCAGTTCGTCCAGCCCCGTGCGCTCCAAAGGGAGCCACGACATTGCGCCACGGGACTATGGGAATTATGGTATATTCCTTATTATGGGTAAGGCAGGATTTGTACCATCAACCGTACTGGGTACCCTGAGTACCTATATGGGAGTTTCCGAAAATTAGGGGTCCTTATCTTGGGGGTTTCATAATAAGGATCCTACTAGGGTAGAATATGAGGTTCCCCCATTTTCGGAAATTCCCACATTGCGCCACAGGACTCTTTGAATGGTCGGGCAGCGGTGACTTCGTGAACTTTAGTTCGCTAAGGGCCAAGTACCAAGTAACAACTAGCTGTTCTTTAAAAGCATGCAAGTTGTCCAGGATTGCAAAGGGGTTTCATTGTCTTTACGGTTGGGTTTAGGATAGTAATATGTGGAGTAATATAAGCTAATTAGTGGTTTGGGGAGCATCTGACTTGTGGCCGAATTCGGCTATTTCTGACAACTTTCACTTTAATTCAAAGCCCGGGAAAATTTCGAGATTGAGTCTGTGAGGTATGCGTGGTGCCTTCTGTCGGGGTCTGAACGGTCATGATGCCGGGTGCCTCATGTAAGGATTTAGAGTTTAGGCTTTAGGGCGTATGGCAGGCCTCCTGGATGATGGTTTAGGCTTCTTGCTGGGTGCCTGTGTTTTGCTGTGGCTCGTTTTCAAAAGCTGACGGCGGCCGGCATCACAAGGTAAACAGCATTGCAACCGTTCATATAAGTCTCGCCGGTCTTCTTGCTTTTGGGTCAACCGAGACAGACCCGGAAATAGTTACCATCTCACAGCCCATATTCACATACAAACATGATGCATCACACCGAATCTTTTTTTTCTGCCAAGGGACCCCAATAGATTTCCTAGCAAGCAGTATCTGATTTTCCTCATTATGCCTTGCAGGGTCCAGGTACTCCCTAAACCCTAAACCCTCAGAGACTCTTCAGCACTACTTGCAAATTGAATGCTCAGGTGACTCGGTGAGTAGGATAGCCCAAATGAGGCAAAGCCGTCAAATCCCAAACACCAAAAAGCCTGTGTTCTGATGAATATGTGCACCTCAGTGTCAAGAGAGCCCTTCAGTTTCAGTTCAATCTTTCGACTTCTCTGGTACACGATCATAAGGTTGTATATATGTGTATACACATGTGTATAACACTTTGAAACATGATGTGAATAGTACAGTCATGGTGTACGGTCTGTATATAGGGACCAGACAAACTATGAAGCGGATCTTGCCGCTAGTAGTTTAGATTGCTACCTTCTTAAAACCTAAACCCTATAGTCCCTACCTCTGTACTGCCCTATGCTGTGACACATGCCTATATGACACCATTATATTACAGTAAGGGCCTGTGCGGATGTCACATTGTAATTACATCCATGGTAACAGCGGAAACTTCGAACCTCCTGGACACGATTTTTTCCGGAATCTTGGAAACGAGGCGGCGACAGCTGCCCTCAGCTGCATCTGCATTGCCTTCGACGTGGGCAATCAGGCCAAGTACCCTACCCTAAATCCCAAACCCACAGTTTTCTCCGGAAAGCCGAGGACCCCAAACCCCAGACTTCTAGGATCGAGCCCCGAAAGGCTCAGGCAATTGTACACCATATGTCAGGCTGGGTGTTCTCAAAATTAGGGTCCCATCTTAGGTCCCCACCATAGTACGGCACGCTTACAGGAAGGACCCCAAAACGGACACTGATTTAGAGAACTACCATATTAGTTCCTGATCATCTTCAGGTGCACTTCTTGATCCGTGGGCTCGGTCCCAAAAAGTAGAAAGTGTATCCACTCAGCCAAAGCCCCAACCTACTTCGCGATACTAGGCTGCGCTAAAACCGGGAGGGGGGTTCGGTTGAGGGGTCCTTTTTGGAGGGGATCCTTTCACCAAGGGTTCGATTCTATCATTTCGCGTCTATGAACCGGTGAACACCCAGCCCAAGTACCTGTGCTGCCGAGGCTGGGTACTGTAACCCAACCCCTTGAAATCATGAAACCTCTACTCTTTGTCGGCTGGCACGACAAAACTGAAAGCAATTCAACACGCAAAAGAACAACGATTGCAAAGTCGAGATCTCGCCCAAAACGACCACCGCGGTCATTGAACCATTACCTGGACCCCAGAACTATGTAGAATAATATCCTTTTACAGGCGTTGGGCCATTATCTTACTTACTGTTGGGAGATTACCCTAAGGGTCCAAGTACCTGATAATCATATACTCTCCGAAATGTGAACCTACATAACCATCATCCTGAACTCAAGTACCTTATTATTGGGTCCTTTGGACCCTTAAAATGCCTTAAAACCTCTTAAAAGTCTTTAGAACCATATAATCCCCTAAAGATCCCTTAAGGGACCTTTATAGACGCCCCTTATTATTGGGGGCCGTTGGACCCTTGGGATTAGGTACGACTGGAAGGATCGAACAAAAACCGAACTGGCACTGGCCTCAGAGCCTGCATGGAGGGCGATGCCAAAAGAGGGCTTGGAGTTTGGGGTCAAGTTTAATTAAGGTTTAGGGTTTGGTTTACTGTAGGGTTTAGGGTTTAGTTTAGGGTTTAGTTTAGGGTAAAGGGGTTAGTTTTGGGGTTCAGATAGAGGGGCTTAGGGTCTAGAGTTGATGCCTGCGCTTTACGGACTACAGTAGAAGCCAGAAAGTTGGAATATGATTATCCTAGACCATTTATGGTAAATTATAGGGGATCCTACCCTGAAACCATATTCCAACTTTCTGGAGTTCCCTTTATCCCAAAGAGGTTCGTTGGGTCGCTGCCTCAGAAGCCACCAGCTTTGCGGATCACGCATGCCTCCCACTGGCAGTAGACCGACTCCACATCCGGAGCAAGAGGAAATCGTCCGGATGCTGTGGTGGGATCCAGCATCTGGTGAACCCAGGCCTGCATGATTTCAGATGTTGCCGGCCCATCTGCATACTCCGGTTCCCTGCCAACCTTAGTTGCTCAGATCGCAACCTCAAGCCCAATCACGAGTACACTCCAGTTCGATAGTGGGTAATACGGTTGATGGTATAAATCCTGCATTACCCAAAATAATCAACGTTATACAACTCCCATCGTTTAGGGTTTAGGGTCATGAAGGTAATGCAGGATTCGTATCATCAGCCGTATCCCCAAAAATGTAAAGCTAGGATGCCCAGTAACCTAGAAATAAAAAGGGCTCCCTTATTGGTATTAGGTAACTTCATAAGGAACCTAGGACTACAAAAAGGGATAACGGTACTACTGGGGCATCCTAGAAAGTGTAGCCACTCAGCTCTACTCAGTTGCTGAGTTCATAAGCCCCAAAAGTGTACACTTTTTGATTTTATAGTGGGTGATATGATCCCCAAAAATGTAAAGTGTATCCACTCAGCTACTAAGTCTACTCTGAACCCTAGGGTTTAGGGCTTTAGGGGTTTAGGGTTCAGCTCAAACCGACTACTTAATTATTAAGGCCCAGCTCAAACCGACTACTTAATTATTAAGGCCCATATAATGGAATCCTTATGGTAGCCCTTTCAAAGGAACCTTATAGAACCCTTTAAAGGAACCCTAACTATTGGGTCCTTTGGACCCTTGGGGTAAGCAACCTACCCCTTTAAGGAACTATATATAGAAACCATAGTAAGGAACCCTAACAGGTAGGTCTTTCCGGCTACAGGTAGGGTTCAAGGTATAGGTTTAGGCTTTAAGATTTTAGGGGTTTAGGGTGCAGCTCCAAGCAACCTGTAGGTCTTCCAAGAAGTAGAGGCCCCCCGGCCGAAGGGCTGGCCAAAGGCCCTCGAAGGTCGCCTTGTTGGCCCCAAAACCCAAGGAAATAGAAGTTGAGCTTAGGGTTTAGGGTTTGGGGTTTAGGGTTTGGCGTTTAGGGTTTAGGGACCTTATAAGAACCCCAAAAGTTGAAAAGTTGGGCTTACAGCCAATAAGTAGCTTTGTTGTGCTTGTTGTGGTGACTGCCGTCATCAATGATGACGTCGAAGTTGCCGCCAGTGGTGATCAGCCATTCTTGCAGAATGGCGGCGTCACCCTGGTCCCCTGTCACAGTTTTTATACCGTCGAGCCGTCCAGCCTTGCGTTCATGCTCCACACATGATGCTTCATAGTCTGCCATCCACAGATCTAGCGTGGGAAACAACTTTAACCATAGCTTTGCACTTGCACCTGCGCCGGCTACCATACCACAGCCAAGGCCAATTTCAAGCATTTTTGCTTGCGGGGAAGTTTGCAGAAAGGGAAGCAGGAAAGTGCCATACATCACCTGATACCTGTGGGTTGTGGTCTTGTCCGTCTGCTGGGGCATTTCCACTGCTGCCTGCTCAAAGGAATACACAGTGTGAGCGACAAAGTTGCCGCTGTCACTTAAGTCACGGCGGCACACTTGCTTCCGGATCATGCACGCCTGCCGTTGACAGTAGACCTTAGTTGCTGTGTGCATAAGCCCCAAGTGTACAATTTCAGTCTTATAGTGGGTAATATATTATCCAAAAAGTGTAAAGTGTATCCACTCAGCTACTAAGAGACAGACTCGAGCCCGCTGGGCATTGGGTGGGCACGGGCGCCACTCTCAGAAGGTGCATGGATTAGCCTTGGCTGACTTGTGAACCCCTCTTAAAAAGTTAAACTTGTTAGCCTCAATTATTATTAGTCCATACAGAAATCCAAAAAGTTAAAGTCCTAAGAGCCAGCCAGAAGAACGCCCAGTAGCAGTTGATCAATCCATTGCGCAAGTCTGTTGGAGATGCCTGCCTCGCGGTCATCGAAGACTTCCTAGGCTGTTCAGTAACCCACTGGGAAAAGTCTAAACCTTTTTAGGCTTCGTATTTTATGAAAAATAATAATAGGAACCCAGAAACATGAAAGTAAACAAGTGTACCACTGAACAGCCTGGCTTCTATGAAATACATGCCGCCTGGCCTCAACCGTGGCCACAGTGAGTCAAAAACCGTCCATGCAGGCATCTGCTGATGACGGTTCTGAGAGTGGATTACTACATGGAGATCCCCACTTCCGGAATCCAACCACTTCCGTAGTCCCGCTTGCCTTAAGTAGATCCAAGACATTTATCTTCGGGAGCACAAGTTTCAACCTACAGTTGCCCTTAATGTTTGAAAAGGGCTTTATGGGGCTTATGATACTCTATATATATATGCAACAATACAAGGAGCCCTAAGAATAAGAGTTGTAATTCTTTGGCCCCCCAAACCCTAAACGACAACTGGAAATTGTTGGACTTGCAAACATCGGGTGCCCAGTCTTGCTTTCACCCCCATCTGCCGCAGCACAGGTAGTATCAACACCTCGGTTCCCCAGTAACATAGAAATCATAAGGGCTCCCTTTTCGGTATTGTATAATATTTTTCGAAACCTAAGACTTAGAATAAACGGCCCCCCTTTTGGAACTGTATACGTTTAATGAGGAACCTAAGACTACAAAAATGGAAAAGGGACCCACTGAGAGACCCAGACGCTTAGGTTCGCCAGCACCCCCTTAACAAGAAGGATACTCTCTTTCCTGCTCTTTGGTTTTCTATACCCCCCTTAGAACGATAATAACCGTTGTATTGTTTAGTCTTTTCTTAGGTTTTATATGAACCAAAACAAAGCAATAATTCTTGAGGAGACTATCGTGTTGATTCGGGAAGCCAAAATAAGAAGGGCGAGAGGGTAGGGTTTAGGGTTTAGGGTTTAGGGGTACAGGGGAACCTAGGCACTTGCTTCCCACAGGACGGAAGTTGGAAAGAGCTTCTTCCACAGAGCCATGCGCGCGCCTGGGCCATGACTTTGACTGCAGCCAGAGGCTACCTCGAGCAATTGTGCACCGGGATGTGTCTGCATGAAGGGCAGCAGGAATGTGCCGTATATCAAGTGGAGCAGCATGGAGGACAACTTCTCAGTGCTTCCAAAAGCCTTCTCACCTTCCAAGATGGACTGAATAGCTGCCTGCCTTGTGGGTAGCCTTTCCCAGGCCACATCCCCAGAGCTAGTTTTCCCATGAAGGGGCGCAAGAAAGGCATTGTAAGGGGCCATACAGGCATAGAACCCCTCGAAAGATGCGCTGGTGTCTCTAGTCCAGAAGACTACACCGGAGACTGCCACCACTGCCAGTCCAGCAAGCACCACCATGCGCTTGCGACGACAGTGCAGCCACCATGCACGCAGGGTAGACATCTCTCTACAGTTATTAAGGAAAGTTTCAGGAGGCGGAGTACCACGTTGGGCACGCAAGCATCCAAAGCTCGCCAGTAAAAGTGCCGCCCAGAGTCTGGATGCAATTGGCTTGTTGTGTTGGCAAGGGCTAGTATAGTAGTTCGGCCAGACATGCCTGTGAAAAGATGAACCTTCAGTAGCCTGCAGCTTGCAGTTACTGTGGCATGTCTCTGAGCCGAAGTTACGTGTTGAAAACTGGTTGTTCTGGCAGCTCTGGCACCCTAAACCCTAAACCCTATACACCTTAAACCTAAACCCTATATACCCTAAGCCCTAACCGGCACCCTAAACCCTAAGGCTCAAGCCCTAAACCCGATACTATATACACCCCAAACCCTCAACCCTATATACCCGAAATCCTATATACCCTACACAAACCTGAGCTCTAAACCCTGAACCATCCCTCCCCCTGAAACCCATCAGTGAGGTACGGCCCCCACTCAGTAATAGCTGAATAATACCCAGAGGCTCCAAATATATATATATATATATATATATATATATATATATATATATATTATAGTACCATTCTGGAATTAGGCCCCCAAAGACCATAATTATCAGGGTGTTAGGGGCCTAATTCCATAATGGTATTGTATCTGGAGCCTCTAGGATACTCATAACATAGAAAGGGTAGGACCTTAATAGTAGCCCCAGTATAGACTCTTCCTGTACAGGGGCCGTACCTAACCCATCAGGTCCCTAGGGGAGCCCAGAGGAGCTCGTGGGGCTGAGCTTAAGCCCCAAGAGGTTCAACCTTAGGGGTTTAGGGGTCTAGGGTTTAGGAGGCTTAGGGTTTAGGGGGTTTAGGGTTTAGGAGGTTTAGGGTTTAGGGGGTTTAGGGTTTAGGGGGTTTAGGGTTTAGGGGTTTAGAGGTTTAGGGGCTTAGGGGTTTGGGGGTTTAGGGGCTTGCTTTGCTACCACTACAGCTGGTGAAGGCTCTTACAATGGAACTTGGGGACTTAGTAAGTCGGTTATAAGTAGGGTTAGAATTGGGGTAACTCCATCTAGGGTACTTATAATACTTATCTGAGTTGCCCTTTAAGCCCTGTGAAAATTATTAACTATTATGGTTCTCTACAAAAATAGTAGAAATTCCAGAAGAACCCAAAGGATAACCCAGTTATAACCTACTTACTAAGCCCCCCTGGGCCCCTAAGCCGCTATAATGATAATGATACTTAGAACCCTTATAGGGTCCTTATAGAAACCCGTAAAGGAACCCTTTAAAGGAACCCGAAGTAGCTATACCGTAGGACCATCTTCAGGAAGCTCCTCAACCCTAAACCCCAATATAGAGGCCTTGATAATTACCTATACTGTTTTGGGGTTCGTTATATTCTAGTTATAGCATGATAACCCCCAGAACCCTATTCTAGTTGTTAAGCCCCCCCCCCCCCCCCCAAGTAAGCCTCCTTCAGTCTGTATGTTTTTGGACTCACTAGAGAGGTTAGAAAGGTTTTGGGTCTCAAGGTTCAGGGTTTGGGTTCGTTTCGGGTGTGTACTTCAGAAGTGTACACCCGAAAAGATCCCAAACCTCGAACACCCGAACTCGAAACCTTAAACCCTAAACCCCTGAACCCCCTAAACCCTAAACCCCAAACAGCGCCTCATGTCCGTTTTGCTCCACACAGTCTAGTGCGGAAGTTTCGCGCAGGCCGAGCTCTAATAGCTGCTGCTGTGCTGTCGGGCTTAAATAATATAGGGCTTCATATTATACAATACGGAATACAACATAATTCCCATAGTTTAGGGTCCTTAAGGTAATGCAGGATTTATATTATCAACAGTATAGCTACCAGGATCCCACTGTAGCCTCTTGAGTTTAGGGTTGTAGGTTATATAAACCCTAAAATCCTAAAGCCCAACCCCAAACCCTAAAACAAGAGTAGAGTATTACACCCCCTTGGCAGTGGTCTGCCCTCAGGGAAGCGTCGGCAGCATAGGCGGAGTAACTCCCTTTGGAAGCTCTGCATACCTTCGGCTTTCGAGTGTTTCACCCACGCGCACACACACACACACACAGACAGTGACAACCCTCCCATCCTGCACCCAAAACCCGTAATGTAGAGGCCTTAATGATTAGAATAGGGTTTTTGGGGGGTATCTTATACTATAGTTATAATGAGGAACCCAAACAACAATATCGGTACTTATTTAGGCTGCTATAATATTTGACTCTACATTGCAAATATTGCCGTCGAACTCAAAGCCTAAACTCCTAAACTCTCCTAGCTCGAACACAAACCTTAGGCCTGCCGACGCCCGTGGCCCAATCTGAGGGCTCCAGTTACCCAAACAATGGGGTTATGGGGTTATTGCATGCATGGTTAGTAAACTACTCTCCCACAGGGTCCTGGTACCATTATGGAGGATTCTCCCCCTAGCGGTATTTCCTAAGATAGAAACCCTACATTGTACTATAAAGGTACTTAGGACTCTTTGGGTATTTAGGTGTCTGGCGCCTTAGAACAGACGCAGCCAAACCAAGGAAGTCTTTTGCTCGATAGAGGTTTGGGTTTTGGGTATAGGGTTGCTTGCAAGCCGGACCGGTTCCAGTTGGAGTGCCGGAACAGGGATGGTTACTTGGAGGGGCAGGGGACTTAGTAAGTCGTTTGTAAGTGGGGTTAAAATTGGGGTAGCCCCATTTAGGGTACTTATAATTCTACTTATAACCTACTTAGTAAGTCCCCTGCCCCTCCAAGTAGGGTGTATGCACCTCTGCATGTTGCCGCACATGTTTGTTTGGGATGTCTGAGGTTGCCCCCAAGATGGTCCAACAACATTACAACATTAAGGGAAACACAGAACTGTAAGAATCTAAATACTGAATCTGAACACTAGTCACTAGCCTTTCGGCACAGAACTCGAACCTTCAACCCGGAACAAACAGGAAGCATTATGTATATCTGTGCCAAATACATATATGCATAGATTCATGCGTGACCGGTGATGAAATGGTGAACGAAGTCAGCCCTTTCTGCCTGGTGGTCCCTGAAAGGAACGCAAACCTCATCAAAACGGTTACAGGAACCCTGCCTGACGATCGAGTCTAAAACCCCTCTGGGGCCCTCCAACACAACACACAGCTCGACAAAAAACACGAAACCCGCTGAAACAGCCAAAATCATACACAAACCCTGTAAAACCGGTATCAAGACTACAACAAGCCTTGAATGATCATAGATACATACATCCTGTCAACATTGTACAAACACCAGCCAGAATCAATCCCTTATCCCAGCTATACCTGCTTGCGGTCGCGGTGGCAATGCCCTCAACCCTGAACCCTGAAATCTAGAAACACCCCAAAATCCCTTAAAGACTATAATGGACCATAATGTACCTTGACACTATACTAGGAAACTTAATGCAAACTAACATATATTGCTTAATTAAAGGATTGTGGAAGGCCTGGGACTAATCCCTAAACTGGCAAGGCACATGGCGTGGTACGCTGCAGCAACCTCGGCCTTATCGTACCAGGTGGCATTGGAACCTCAAAGCAAAACTTGGAGTGATCTTACTATAGGGGCCTCAACTATTAGAATAGGGTTTTCGTGAACGTTATACTATTATCATACTAAGGAACACCAAGAGTAGTATTGGTAGGTAGTCAGGCCCCTAGGGAAGACTTCTTTCTTCCTTCGAGGTGACTCATTAAAGGGTTCCTTGAATGGTTCCTTTAGGAGTCCTTGAATGGTTCCTGTAAGGGTTCCTTTCAAGGATTAAGGTTTGGGGTTCGCGGGTTTGGGGGTTTAGGGTAGAAGGTTCGGGTCTCAGGGTTGAGGCTTTTCGGCTTGTCTGTTGACGACTCAGAGTCTGATATCCGCGCTGCAGTCTGCTGGGCCCACTTCGGTCGTTTTTCTACTTCTGCATCTCACGATATCGTGGATCTAAGTCTAGCGTTTGGGCTTCAGGGGCGCTTCTTCACGGAACCAACATGGATGCCTCTTGGTCTGCATGTTTGTAGTATATTATCGCATACTGTAATACATTATAGTATGCTATAGTACATTATGGTATGTTATAGTCAATTATAGTAGGTTATAAGTTTAGGGGGCTGAAGAACGGAGGTTAGCTTTTCGGCTTGAAGCCCCCAAATCTTTGTTTCTTTTCGACGCAGAGTGACCTCAAACCTCTATATAGGACCGGCCAAGGCCCCAAACTCGAAACCGTAAAGCCCTACCCAAAGAGCCCAATACCCCTTAATTAAGGAATGGCTTGAATTATATAGGTATTCATATTATGATTTAAGCTATATTCCGTAATTAAGGGGTATTGGGCTCTCTGTGTACCCGGCCCCAACGCCCAAACCCTGAAACTCTCAACTCGAAGCCCTAATCTAGGGGCCTTAATATCGAGAATGGGGTTTTGGGGTTTGCAGTACACTCTGCTAAACTGTTAAATGACAAGAACACGAATGTCAGGAGACATTTCGTGCAACTATTACAGCAGCTTGAGAGAAACACATGCATGCAGTGTCGGCACGGATGGCGGAAAACTACGGCGACGAGTCGGGGCCTGCTGTTACGGCCCCCGACAGGCCTACCCTAATCCCACTGCCTCTAAGTACTACCCTTATATAACTTTCAAAATCCTTATATACCCTAAGCCCCTAAAACCTAAACCCGAACCGCCACGGCGCCGATACGAATCCTGGGCCCAGCGCGGATCCCATCCGCCTCCTTTCGCGCCTGCTGCGCCTGCTTCAGCTTTGTGCTCTTCCGGAGACTCCACTTATCAAGGAATCTACCAGGGTTACATAAAGGGGCCTATAAGGGTTCTATAAGGGCAGTAAGGAATAATTATTCCATGAAATATAGCTTTGAGCTCTTGCGGAGACTCCATAATCCCGTAATTAAGGATTAGGGTTTAGGGCCAAGGCCTTTTAAGGTTTAGGGTTAGGGTTTGGGCTGGGTTGAGGGTTAGGTCAAGATCTTCCAAAATCCCTTAACTAAGGGATATACCAGGGTTCCTTAAAGGGGTCTATAAGGGTTCTATAATACGGGACTGAGGAATATTCCTCAAATTAAAGTAGGATCCCCAATATGATTTAAGCAATATATTCCTTAATTATATAAGTAGGGATATTATCTGTCTTTGAGCCCTTCCGATGACCTCATTACGCCCTAGACACTAAACCCTAACGAGCAATCCAGCATGGGAGTTTCCGAAAATTGGGGGGTACCTTATTTTGCGGTCCTCATAGTAAGGATCCTACTATTTGGGGTACGAGGGTCCCCTATCTTCGGAAACTTCCAGATAGACCTCAAATCCTCCCTTGAACTCAGGGTCGGCCCTCCACCCTCAAGACCAGCCTTATGAGTGGGTATTTGGGGTATCTTAAAGGGTACTTAAAGGATCATGGGACTTAGTAACTAGGGTTATATAATTAGAGTAACTATACTTAAAACCCCAATTAAGGTACTTATAACCTTACTTACTAAGTCCCATGATCCTCGAAGTCGGAGTCGTTGGGCGGAAGGGTACTTTTCATTCCTTGACTAGATTTGACAACACACTGCTGGCCTAGTGGCTTCATAGCCGAGCTGATCATGAACCCTACAAGCCCCAAACCACTAAACTTCTAACCCCTAAACCCTAAACCCCTAAACTTCTGAACCTAAACCCCTAAACTATAATTCAGGGGCACTGGGCTCTCTGGGAAGCTCGACAGCCGCGACCTCCTCCTCATAGCGCTCAGACGACTTTAGGCCCTCATTCATGTTCACCTGGCTTCGGGGGTTAAGTTTAAGGTTTAGGGGTTTAGGGTTCATGGTTTACGGTTTAGGCTTTAGGGCTTTAGGGTTCAGGGTTTAGGGGTTTAGGGGTTTATGGGTTAAATTTAGGGGGTTAAGGCTTACATAAGGGGTCTAGGGTTTAGGGGTTCAGGGTTTAGGTTGAAAAAACTCTTCGGAACCAAAACACAGAGCCCTATACACTTCTGCCTCCTAACCCCGAGGGTCCAAGTACCCAATAATCATATACTCTCCAAAATCAACCTACATACCTACTATTTTAAAACCGAATACCTAATTATTGGGTTCTGTGGACCCTTGGGGTAAGCTCAAAAGCATCCCAAGGTGCGAGAACTCTGAAACCCAATGCGCAAGCCGCACTAAGCAAATAGTGATGGACATGCGTGTGGGTATCATGATAAGGTTATGGCATCAAGATGTGTGTGTATGTATATATATATATACATATGCAAATATCTCTTTATACACGTATACATATACAAATATACAAATATACAAATATATATATATATATATATATATATATATATATATATATATAACCCACTGAACCCAAACTAAACACGATTAGCAAAAAACAGACCGTTGAGCAAACCGACCCCGAGTCACACCATTGAGAGGCTATTGCGAAGGGAGGGTTATAGTCTAATAGTCGACTTGCGAAAGCTCCTGGTAACAACAAAACAAAGCCGCCCTTGGAAAACCCATTCCGTATAACCTTACCACTGATCCCCTTGCATCCGCACTACCTGGACCCTAAGGAACCTACCTTTTTAGGGTTCCCTAATATGATTTCTTTGTATAAGTCCTTAAAAAGGTAGGTTACGTGGGGTTAAGGTAACCACTACATACCCACGAAGTCATTCAGGCCCCCCACTTACAATCTACTTCCGAAATGCCTTGGTCCCCAAAGTCCCCACAACTAGTCCAACCCAGACTTTCCAAGATCTTTTAATTAAAGAATACACCTTAAAACAGATTAGGGATCCTAATTATATAGTACTATGATCCGTGGTATATTCCGTACCAAATAAACTTTGGAAGGTCTGGGAGTGTCTATCAACCCCCTCAATTTGTCTGCAAGCGCCTCTGCAGCTTGCAAAGCTTTCAGGACTTCTGGGTTCTCGCCCTGCATGCATGGCTTAGGGCTTAGGGTTTTGGGGGGTTTAGGGTTTAGGGTTTTGGGGGCTTAGGGGTTTAGGTTAAGGGGTTTAGGGTTTAAGTTCTATTGCTGTTGCTGATGTATGGTTCAGTGGGTGTTCTATGGCTTTCACACTTCTGATGTGGTGCAAGAGGGTTCTTGCATGAACTTTGGGGCTTTAGGATTCTGGCCGTCCAGTTGTGGAATGTTCAAGTCATGGAATATCATTATCGTAACCCCTTTAAGGTAAATTATAGGGTATCCTACCCTGAAACCATATTCCAACTTTCTGGAGTTCCCTTTAAGGCCCTCCGGCTCATTCCAGGCGTCCGGAAGAAGAGGGTTGACGGTTGTTTCGGGTTGGAATGAGGTTGAATTCTTGAGGCCCTTATGGGTGGTTGTCAAAATGGTGGTCCCATTTTGGGTACCCGAAATATAAGGCGCCGTATTATAATAAGGACCCAGAAAGGGACCCTAATATTGACAACCACCCTTATGTCAGATGTGTAAACCCGAGCACGAAACCCGCGAGGTGCCTCCTTCTGCAACTCTTCCTTCAGCTTCTTCTCCCTCGGAGCGCTTAGATCACAAGGTTCCTTTGGACCTAAGAATTAAAGGGTAAAAGGAGGGACCCCTAATAAGGACCCCTAGGTATATACCCATAATATAGCCATTATATACCCATTATATAGCCCATTGTAGGGTAGGGGTCCCCATTAAGGGTCCCTCCTTTTCTCCTTTGACAGAACTAGGGCCCTAAACCCTAAACCCTATTACGTGTTCTATGAGGGTTCCAGAAGTTCTATAAGGGATCTATAGGGCAAGGTTTTAAAGGGCGATTAAGGGTCCAAAGGACCAGTTAGGTTTCGGAGCGTAGGTATGTAGGCTACCGTTTGGGGGCGTATATGATCTCTAGGGCTCAAGGTCCGGATGCACCGAAATATTGTAACAAAATCCCGGAAATCGATCTCTATATTAGGGGGAGACGGGGCTTTTAATATTAGGGGGAGGGGTTGCATTGGACGCTTAGGGTAAGGGTCCAAGTGCCCAAATAGTAGGGTGTTAGGAGGCCCCCAACTCCAGGTTAATTGGGCACCTCATAAAACCTTAAACATCAAAACTTGAACCCTGACAAGAACCCTAAGCCCTTAACAACCCTAAACTCCTAAACCCGAAACCCTAAACCCCTAAACCCTAATTAAACCCTCAAGCCTAGGCCCCTACGATCTGCGCTTGGGCACTTAGGACATGATTCTGGCTTGGCTCGAGCGTGTTTGGAGTCTTCGTAGGGTGTAGGGTTAAGGGTTCCAGGTTCGGGGCTTAGGGTTAAGGGTTAGGGGTTAAGGGGTTTGTTTAGGGGCTTAGGGCTAAGTAGGGTTTGGGTTGGGTTTATAGGGTTAAGGGGTTTGTTTAGGGGCTTGGGGCTTAGTAGGGTTTGGGTTGGGTTTATAGGGTTAAGGGGTTTGTTTAGCGGCTTGGGGCTGAGTAGGGTTTGGGTGTTTAGGGTTCAGGGTTTAGGGCCTAGTACCACTTGGAGGGCCATGGGCCCCAGCAAGGCGGTTATAAGTCGGACTCCAGTTATTGTGCCTACCCCAAGGGTCCAAAGGACCTAATAATCAGGTACTTGGGTTACGGCTCGCAGTCTTACAAGTTACCCCAAGGCTCCATGTACCCATATAGTATATACTTAGGCCTTAAAGTACCTATATAGGGACACCTTTAAGGCTTAAGTATCTACTATAAAGCTACATGGAGCCTTTGGGTTAGCATTCAGAAGACTATATGGTTACTAGGTACTTGGACCCTCAGGGCCCCTAAACCCTAAAACCCCCAAACGAAAACAAAACCCCAAACCTTAAACCCCAAAACCCATAAAGCCCCTACACCCTCAGCCCCTTAACCGCCTTCATTCAGGTTTCGGATTTTGAGAGTCGGGCTTGGCTTGGGGCTTTTAGGCCTAAACCCGTATCCTAAACCCCTAAGCCTCCCAATTCAAGGATACTTTACCGGCGACGCGATACCGTTTCGCTTACAGCCGGTAAAGTCGGAGGGCAGTCCAGCTTGGCAGCGACTTCCTGCAGCTTCCGAGTCACAGATGGGTGAGGGTCTCGCAAGAACATCAGAGCTTCAAGAACGTCCTTGTCCTTGCCCTTCAGCATATCATCCACGGGCAAGAACCATTGCTTGCTGCGCCTGCCCTCGCACCAGCCAGGGACGGCAAACAGCAACGCCCGCTCTGCAGCAGAGCGCCATAGGATGCCGCCAACTGCGTCCGGGCCGGCTGTGAGGCAATCGACTGCCAAGTAAACTGAGAATCGAAGCTAAAATCGTAGCCTCTGTTGTTGAAAGTAAATTGTAGTTGTCCTTCCAGACCTCTTGAGAATAATAAGACGCATGCGGAGCTCGCGGCACGTCTGTATCGAAGAAGTACCCTCTTCCAGCCGTTTCATCGGCGAGCGCAGCTAGGAAACCGGGATGATTAAGTGACATTTGGGCTTTCTGGGCTGCGAGTCTAGGATTTCACGTTTCTAGCATATTCGCCGTACAAGGTAGAACCTGATTCATTCTACTATAAGCAAAATGGGGAACCCTGAGGAACTCTACAACCAAACATCAGGCCCTCTTCCAACACCTATAGCAGACCTTAAGACCACTCAAAATACTACAACACCAATTGTTTCGAGCTATCTACTTTTGGGATCCTTGCGGCGGTCTGGGAAGAGACCGAAGAAGCCCGACACTCCCCAAGATCCAGATCCCCGTCTTCACAAACGTCCTCCTTGGGTTTATAGGGTTCGTTCAGTTAGGGTTTAGGGTATTTTTTTTTGTGAGCTCCTTTTTGATGCAAACAGGGCATGGGGTCTAGGCTTTAGGGTATAGCTTAGGATTTAACCCCAAGTGTCCAAGTACCTAATATTCATAAACTCCATAACCTGAACCTACATAACTACTATCCTAAAACCGAGTACCTAATTATTAGGTCCTTTGGACCCTTGGGGCTATAGCATAGGAATACCATCAGATCTACCTTTTTCAGGAATTATATAGAAACCAGAATAAGGAACCCCAAAAAGGTAGGTTCTTCAGGGTTAAGGTAAACCCTAAACCCTTATTGAACCCTAAACCCTTGACAGAACCCTTGTAGATCCCTTTAAAGGAGCCCTAAACCCCTACAGCCTTTAATGCCCAGACCTTCCAAAATCCCTTAATTAAGGAATATACCTTAGATTATAATAGGATCCCTAATATGAATTAAGGTATATTCCTTAATTAAGGGATTTTGGAAGGTCTGGGTGGAGCCCCATGGTCAATTCCTTAATTAATTACGGGGTATTGGGCTCTCTGGGTTCTGAGGACCCAGCGTGAGCTGCTCTCGCACGGCAAAGCCCTCCGGCAAACTTCAGTTCGGGCCCAACCAACTACTTTGGTTAAGGGTTCAGGGTTTAGGCATTAGGGCTTAGGATTTGGGGATTAGGGTTTAGGGCTTATATAGGGACTACTTAGACTCTAAGGCCAGTGTATATGCTCTTTCAGTACAGGGCCCCTTTTGGGTTTGTGTGTTTGGGACTCTTGAAGCCTCGGGTTGAGGGCCCCAAGACCGTTAGACGCTCAACCCCTAAACCCTGAACCCTAAGCCCAGAACCCAGAAACCCCTAAACCTAAACCACCGAAACCCTCAACCAATGAATCCTAAACCACTAACGCCCTATCAGCCCGAAACCCTACAACCCCTCTGTAAGGACCCTTGAAGGGAGCTTTAAGGGAACCCTAAACCCTGAATCATAGACCCTAAACCCTAAAACAATACGACCCGAACGCTGGGCTTCCTGTCTGGCAGCGTTGGACCTCCTCACAGTCCACTACAAGAATCCCCCTCACGGTCCAAAGGACCCAGTAAGAAGGTATATATGACTATAGGCTATAGGTATTTGACTGGACCAGATCTGCAGACATGTTGAGTCTACAACTACTAGTTTTTTGAGTTTTGGGGTTTATGGCTTAAGGCTCAGGGTTTAGAGCCCTGAAAATCCTACGTCGGATAATGATCGGAGGAACTCGATCTAGGGTACTTATGAGTGGGCTTATACCTACTTACTGAGTCCCCTGGACCTCTATGTAGATCTGCAGGAAATGTTGGGTCAAGAACGTTAACCTCTGGGTTATGTAAGAAATATACTACCCCAAAAAGGCTACAAGTTACCCACTCTATAACTTCAGTTACGAGGACAAATAATCATCACTCGAGCTGCCCTTGGTCGTGAAACATTCCGCAGAAGCCTGCTGATACCCATAGGCATCCTGCCAAAGGCCCCTATTTCTGCAGCAACACTACTATGCCAAATCGAAACCGTGCACGAGCAAGGAATGCGGGCTAGTAGTCACGGCATTGCGAGTAACCCCTCTGAAAATCGTAAACCTAGAACCCTGAACCCCAATAACAAGGATCAGTTCAAACAGAGTAAAGCACGAACTGTTCGTACAAAAGTGCCGATAACAACATCAACTCGAGTATAACAACCACTCGTAACTCAATTCGGCTCTTGCCTACCTGGACCCTAAAGGTATGTAGAATAATTGCCTTTTAACTGTATTGGGCCATTGTTTTAGGTAAGAATAACTGTTTCCTGGACTCGCCTCATACTGGCGGCTCGCTTTCGAGAGGTCACCGGCATGCTGGTCCCAGGCCTTTGCTACAGCGCTCGAGGAATTCCTACTCTGAGGGCTCAGGGGACTTAGCAAATCGGTAATACTTGCGGATTAGCATGTTGGGCTTAGGGCCATTGAATACCGTCATTAGGCTATCTCAATCCCAGAGGGTCCAAGTACCCAAATAGTAGGGTTTTAGGTCCCAAACCCAAAATCCATACTCTGAATGGTTTTTGGAGCTTGAAACCCTACTATTTGGGTACTTCCCTAAACCCTAAACCCTAAACCCCTAAACCCTAAACCCTATTGGACCCTTAGGGAATGTTCAGGCTATTACTTGTAGCCCCCTTGATGGGTCCCGCAGCCCGTCAAAATGCCTCCAATATCCCCAGCCTCCGGAGCCCTTGCGATGGATCCGTGTCGTGCTTAAAGGATCAGTGGACTTAGTAACTAGGGTTATAATTATGGCAACTATACTTATAACCCCAATCTTATAACCTTACTTACTAAGTCCCATGATCCTTTAAGCATGCGTCCACGAAACTTGGAGATAGATCGGGTAAGGCCGCAGTGACAAAAATTGAGCCCCAAACCCCAAACCTTGAAGACTAAATCTTGAACTGGACCTTGAACCCTGAACCCTAAACCTGGACCCCCACACCCTAAACCCTTGAACTCTAAACCCTAAACCCTGAACACTTAAACTCCTGAAGAAGGAGTGTTTTCCAGACTTCTGGTCAAAATCTAAGGCCTTTGAAATCCTCAAAGAAAAAACAAACACAGCTAGTAGAAGGGTATCAATAATTGGAACAAGATTTTTTTAATGATATTCTACTAAGAATCACTTCGCCCTAATATTACCCACCCCGAGGTTTCAATGTTAGGGGCGGTTTTGCATGGGTCGGATGGAGAGAAACAATGAGCCAGGTAGTCAGCCCTAAGCCCTAAACCGCCCTAGACCCTCAAACTCTAAAGCCCTACTTTAACCCTGAAGGACCTACCTTTTGTAGGACTTATAAGGAAATTATATATAATAAGGAACCCTAACAAAGGTAGCATATTCAGGGTTAAGGTAAGCCCTAAACCACGACATCCTGAAGCCCTGTTCCTTTCGGCTTAGTGTTTTCAGTCGAGCCCAAAAGTTGGAAACCCAATAGCTTCAATCCTTAAGAGTAGTGTATAAGGAATCCCAGCATTATTTGGCCTTAGTCAGGTTTCCAACTTTATGGGGTTGACTGTAGTACTACTGAGTCTTGGCTGTAATAAACTAATACTATCAATCCTAGCCCCTCGTTACTATGTTCAACTAAGTTTCAATTGTAGGCCCGAAACTGCAAAATTCCTGGGGCCGGAGGTGTTAATATTAGGTGGGTCTAATATTAGTGGGAAGCGATTAACAATATTCGCAGCAGGTACAACAATAACCATGGTAGTGATATGATTGATAGCAATGCTAAATGTAACAACAACTATTCTTATTCTTACGGTTATATAAGTCTTGCTGTAGGGCCTGAACAATTAGAATCAGGTTTTGGGGCAAGGAACAACATTGTTAATGATTCCGAACCAATATTCTTCGGAAGCGAGGATTTAGCACTTAGCTTTCCGGGGCTTCAGGCCTATCAATGCTTCATGGTGTGTAGTTTCCACAGTTTGATGTCGATACCAACTGCCCCTCCCCCCCGAAGCTGGTGAGGTTTACTTTGGAGCATAACAGGGTTGGCTTTGGTGGCTTGGAGTTTCATACAGCCTGGGTCTACAACCCCACACCTGATGGGAGGCAAAAAAGGGGTCTGGGCACCACCAGCAAACTGCCGTCGCCAGTCAGATCTGGGGATCCCTACGTCCGCCACCGCCAAAGCCTGCAGCTTTGCCTTCTTGTAGGCTGCCGCTGCGACCTCGGGGTGTTTAAGGGTTTAGGGTTTAGGGGTTTAGGGCTTAGGGGTTTACCCTAAATTAGGGTTAAGGGTTTAGGGTTTAGTCTTGGGAGGGCGGCGGCGAAGACGAGAGCGACGACTTCAACTACCAATGCTCAATCTGCTAATGCTTTTCCGCTAAAGGGCTGACCCTGGCCAGAAGAACTACTGTCATGTAGTAGAGATCGTGGTACGGCTGGCGTACTTGTATGACTCTGCGAGGTGAGGTAATGATCCATTTGGGAGTTGCGGACGTGCGTTGCTCATGTCATGTGGGCAGCATCATACTGTACCTGAGAGCATCCGATTACCCTCAGGCCCCAAAGTAGTTCCTTTTTGGGGTTATATGACCACAGAAAGGAACTACTATGGGGCCTATCCCCTAAACCCTAAACCCCTCAACCCAAAACCCTAAACCTGAACGAAGGCCCCGGCAACTCCCCGCTGCGCCGCGATGCTCCGCTGCTGATCTTCCCAACCTGCACATCCCTACAGCAGACCCCTGGCTAAGGGCTTTAGCGCTTGGGGTTTACTTAAAGGATCATCTTAGTAAAGGCCTCCTTAAAGGGATCTATTATAGGGTTCCTTAAAGGGATCTATAGGGTTTAGGGTTTAGGGTCTGCTTAAAGGATCATGGGACTTAGTAACTAGGGTTATAATTAGGGTAACTATACTTATAACCCCAATTGAGGTACTTATAACCTGACTTACTAAGTCCCATGATCCTTTAAGTAGGGTTCATTGTATTGACAGTTCCTTAAAGGGTCGAAAAGGCATCGATGAGCGTTGAGAGCTTGGGATTTGGGCTCCTTAGCACGAGGGTCCACTTATACTACTATGATGGAATTAGACCACCCAACACCGAAACTAGACTAGTCTTCGGGCCAAGTTCCATAGTGGTTGTATCTTTGGACATCTGGGTTAAAGGGTTCTATCACAGATCTTTGAGCTGGACTGTCCCAGACTCCGGACGGACCCAGTATCTTGCCTTGACGCATCTTTGCCGCCACGGCGGCGTCCTTGCGCGTGTCGATGATGGCATCCTGGCGGCAGCTTGGCGAAACCAAAAAAGCATGCCTTGACTAGGATTTTGGAGACGGTATGTACACTGTGCAGGAGAATTGTAATTATTCGGGAACCCCGAGGTGAAGTATCGCGACAATTGTTCAGGCTACTAAACGACCATAGTACTCCAACCCCCGCCCCCCTCAACATGCACAAAGGAGGCCATGGGGAAGGCCCTGAAACATAGAGGACTGAACCATGAGCTGCCCTGAGCCCTATACCCTAGCCCTTTAATTCCTGAAACCTTAAACCCTAAACACCCAAACCCTAGACTTCAAACGAGAAGGAGTTGGTCTCCCAGAGCATCCCAGTCCTGAAATCTTAAAACCACAGGCTGCCAAAGGCTGAGAACCCCTACACCCAAGACCTCGAACACCCTGAAACCTCAAAACCCCTGAACTACAAAGCCCTGACTCTCGACAGCACCCCCGTCCCTATAGCAGAGGCCAGAAAGTTGCAACATCATTATCCTCATGCCCTTAAGGTAAAGCAGAGGGAATCCTAGCACTAATCATCCTAATCCCATGTTCCAACTTTCTGGGGCCCACTATAAACCTTAAGCACCAACGCCCAAACACCTAAACCTTGTAATTAGCCCCATGCCATAAACCCTACTTAAAGGATCATGGGACTTAGTAAAGGCCTCCTTAAAGGGATCTATAGGGTTCCTTAAAGGGATGTATAGGGTTTAGGGTTTAGGGTCTACTTAAAGGATCATGGGACTTAGTAACCAGGGTTACCTTTAGGGTAACTATACTTTTCCCCAATTGAGGTACTTCTTCCTTACTTACTAAGTCCCATGATCCTCTAAGTAAGCTTAAGGAACCCTTTAGATCCCTTTAAGGAGCCCTTTCTTACTAAGAGCCCTGAACCCTCAGCTCGCCCGCCTCTAGCACTTTCTGGCCGGCGGCCTCTGCAGCCTTCTGACGTGCGGCGGCGAGCTGCTCCTTTGCTCATGGTGTGGTTTTGGGTTTAAGGTTTGTCGTTTTTTGTTGGAAAGGTTACCATAATAAGGAAACTATGCTATAGATCCCTATTATATGATGATAGCTCAGACTAAATCCTTTAACAAGAACTCAGTGACAGGCTGATGATGCTATAGGGTTAGAGTTTAGGGATGTTTCATTTCCAATTTCTGCATCCTTGCTCGATGCTAACTGTGCTTCTGTTAGGTGTTGAAACACGCTCTGTTGAGGCTTCGAAAAAGCTCGCAAGGGCTGTCGGGGGATATTACAAGGATGTATGCTGGGTACATTGGTTCATGCCATATGCAGCCGGTTTACAACATTCAAGTCCAGTCTTTGGCATGGGATTTACCGGCACGTGCTCATGCTTCGGCGGTTGGGGTTTAGAATAGGGCATAATCGGCCTCGTGGCAACCGTATGTCAAGGGTTCGCAGGGACTGCAGAACCCTGAAGCTAGCAACAGCTGCTTTCGATTAGGTTCGGTAGTGTGTCTCTCGCCGGCATAATGCTAGTAGGATAAGGCTCAAGTATCGAAAGCTTCGGGTTCTTGGGATTTACCGGTTTTGGGTATAGGGATAGGGCTGGGGTGGATAGGACTATAGGCAACCTCTTAAGGTCCATAGCTGATGTTCAGGTTCCGTGTTCGAGGTTGTAAGTTCAGTGTTCAACAGGGTTTCTTTGATGTCGACCGGTCCTTCTTGGGGGCCCTTGTAAGCACAACGAGCACCTTCTTACATAAACCCTATACGTTAACCTCCGAAACCCACACCTTCTCTGGGGTTCCTGATTATGGTGTCATTACATATATTCATTGGCCCAAAACCCAAAGGAATAAAAGTTGAAACTTTCAGAATCGACTACCTGATGAGAACCCCAACAGTTGAAAAGTTGAGTTTACAGCCAATACGTATACGCCCTTCAAAACAGAGGGTTTCGGTGGTCAAGGGTTTAATGGTAATTAAACCCTAAACTGAAAGATAACCCCTTGCCTTGGGGGCTCGGTAGTGCAACCTCAAAACAGTGCAAACTGAGGGCCTTCTTCGTTCGACTGGGTCTGCCTTACTTCGCGTTACGGGGTGGTTGCATAAGGGCTGCTAGTAAGGCTGAGTAGTTGGGCTTTAAGACTTAGACTAGGGCCTAGGGTTTTGGGGCGACTTATGCTTTACAGTATTCGCAGGGAGCCCTGTAAGGATTGATCTGACTAACCATTCCGACCCTGAAATTTACCTCCACGTGTTGCTCAAGACAAATCCCTAAGGGACCGAGTACATGATAATTATAGACTCTCCCCAATACTAAACTACAAAACTACCATCCTAAAACCCAACTACCTGAGAGACAGCTAGTTTGGATCACTAGGGAATCTTCGGTGTCCACATTCCAGCAAACCAACGAATGAGACACAGTTCTTCGGATTTAAGACAAGGCTTACAAATTTCAAGCCGCAAAACCCAAACGAGTTTCCAATTTCGCCCTAGTACCCTCAAGTAGTTTAGGATTGGATAGAACGATTTCATGCAAGCGACATAGGCTCGCCGCGCGACAGCAGCGCTGTGTTTCGCCTGCATGTTTCACTGTGGCACGGTTCACAGTAGTCTTAGCAGCTTCGCCTTGTGTAGTTTCAGACAGCATAGAGTCACGGGGTCATGCTTAGTTTCAGGGTGCATCTTTGCAGAGTGCGCCTTTGGGTGCATTGGGTCGCTTGCATCGTGTTTCTTGCCAGTTGATGGGCAAAAGCACAGGCAAGCACCAATGCACCCAACCCAGCCAGCATGGATAGCCATGATCAGCGATCAATCATCAAGTCTGCTAACTTACACTTTTTTCGACGCGTGATTCTACCCTAAGGCCCTAAGGCCCCAAAGTAGTTCCTTTTTGGGGTTCATATATAGAATCCTATAAGGTATTCCCAAAAAGGAACTACTTTGGGGCCTGTGGGTATGACCGACCCCAAACCAGATCTTCTTATCGCTCCTGGGGCCCTTTCCTTAAGGGAGCCGGGCTCAGGGCTTAATCAAAGGGGAAAAGGAGGGACCCTTAATGGGGACCCCTGGGTCCCTATAATGGGCTATATAGTGGGTATATAATGGCTATATTAAGGGTAACAACCCTAAACCCTAAACCCTAAACCCTAAACCCTAAACCCTAAACCCTAAACCCTAACGGTATATACCTAGGGGTCCTTATTAAGGGTCCCTCCTTTTCCCCTTTGACTCAGGGGTTTCGATCCCTGGCCTGCAACCCTAGAGACTCCAATACCCCTTAATTAAGAAATATTCCTTAAATTATAGTAGGATCCTTAATGTGATTTAAGAAATATTCCTTAAATTATAGTAGGATCCTTAATGTGATTTAAGGGATATTCCTTCATTAACGGGTATTGGAGTCTCTGGGACCCTAACCCCAAAAACCCTCAACGCTGAACCCCTACCCTACTTGGAGGATCAGGGGACTTAGTAAGGTTCCGGGTTCCTTTCAATAAGGGTACTATAGGGTTCTATAATAGGGTTCCTTAAAGGGATCTAGAAGGGTTCTAGAATGGGAGGATCATGGGACTTAGTAAGTAAGGTTATGAGTACCTCAATTGGGGTTATAAGTATAGTTACCCTGATTATAACCCTAGTTACTAAGTCCCATGATCCTTTAAGCAGACCCTAAACCGTAAACCCTATAGATCCCTTTAAGGAACCCTATAGATCCCTTTAAGGAGGCCTTCACTAAGTCCCATGATCCTTTGAGTACAAAGCCCAAAACTCTCAAGTCTCGACACCACACTCCCAAAGGCTCCATGTACCCATATAGTAGGTACTTAGGCCTTAAAGGGCTCCCTATATAGCTACTTTAAGGCCTAAGTACCTACTACATGGGCACATGGAGTCTTAGGGACTCTAGATCCTGGTTCCTAAACCTTATAACCCTAAACTCTTAACTCTTCTCATCAAGACCCTAAGCCCCAAGTCCGAAACTAAACCCTGCACCCAGAACCTAGCCGTCCTGAAAATAGTATTCTTATTGATCCCCTTAAGTCATTCAAAGCAAAACATAAGTCATGAGTTCAATAAAGAAAACCCGAAACCATGAACACCTGAATCCCCCAAACACCTAGGTCCCCACTAGACCTCGCGAGCATGCCGCGCTGCTCGCAGCATCGCAGCTTCAGCCAGGGACTCAGCCGCCGCCTTGCAACGTCTTACTTGGGTTCAGGGTTTAGGAGTTTAGGGTTTAGGCTGTGGGGCTTCGCTTAGGGCTTCTTGGAGTTTAGCGTTTATATGGTTTGGGGCTTAGGTACTTTTTCTGAAGGCATATTGAAGACAACCTAGAAAGAACCTGAGTTACAAAGGCGGGCCCTACGGGTCGCCATACGTGTTCTTTTAAGTCGACGTGAATGCGAGTTTGCCATATTTTGATTTCCTTGTTAAGGGGCGAGGCTTGTTCATTAGGGTTTCACATTAGCCACAAATCATGCCCAGAATGGTCCCGATATTAGCGTGACGATAAGGGGCCTTATCTTTTTGCGCTAAAGATCACAATCGTAACCATGACAAGGAATAAAGAAGGCTCAGGCCGCCACGCCCCTTCATTGAGCTAAAGAGTTTTGGACCCTTCCCAGCCTTCACTAAACCCACTAAGCCCTGCTTGGAGTATCAGATGGTTTCAATACAGGCATAGCTACCTTTCTTGCCCTTAACCCTGCACCCTCCCACAGCCCAAACCCTCAACAACAAATTACATTGTAATCCTTACTAAGCTTCATGACCATCCAAATAAACCCACAAAGCTCTTCAGACGAGGCACATGATCTTTGCTTTCGGGTGTTGAGGTTTCAGGGTTCAGGGTTTCGTGTTTAAGAGGTTCGACTGACAGGTTTAAGCATACCTTCAGCCGGAATAACCTACCCGTTTTAGGGTATGATTTCCTTATGTAAATTCTTAAAATAAGGTAGGCTATCCCGGCTGAAGGTAGGGATTAAGCTATGTAAGGGTTTAAGGCTCAAGATTCCTTGTCGAGTTATTTTTGGAGACTCATGCAGGCTTCAGAAAGATAGGGAAAGCAGCCCCTACAACAAACCCGAAACCGAAAACCTCAAACCTAAGCCCTTGAAGCCTAATTCCTAAAGCCTTAAGCCCTTCTGGGAACCCTTGCAAATAGCAACCCTCATTAAGAGAAAGAACAAACCCTAAACCCCAATTAAGCCCTATCTAAACCCTGAAGCCCAATATTCCTTTGAGGCCCCTACACTAGACCCTTGTAGGGCACTTACAAAAAACTCTTTCCCTAAATACACCCTTACTGGGCTGTCCCTTAAGGCCGTTCAAAAATGGTTTTGTTTACTAGTATGGTTCTCTACAAATTAGTAGGGGAAACTAAAAAGATCCCAAAGGACAGCCCGGCTTATGCCCAACCTAAACCCCTAAACCCTAAACCCTAAACCCTAAACCGTTGCCAATACTCCTTAGAAGGCCCTCGGCTCCCTGGCACCTGGCCGTCAATCATTGCTGCCAAAGGTGATGCTGGAGCTGCCCTGATCCAACGGGAAGCTTGATGTCCATATAGCCTAGACCCGAAACCTTAAACCCTGAGCTATAGACTAAAGCCTAAACCCCATACCCTAAACGAAGCCGTAGAGTAGAAGCCAGAAAACTGGAACATCATTATCCCCATGCCCCTAAGGTAAAGTAGAGGGAATCCTAGCACTGATCATCCTAAATCCATGTTCCAACTTTCTGGGGTTCACTATAATAATGTCCATGGCCGGGGTTGCGGACTCATAGGGCTTGTACGGTTTACGATTAGGGTTGAGGAGTTTAGGGCTTTCCCAAACACACCCTAAACCCCGCCAGGGTCTTTGTATACTCCACAACATAGCTTGTTAGTCCACTATCCTGGGGAAACTAAATCCTAATTATGTAAGGATCGAACACATCGCAAGGTTACCTACCCTACTACTAATAGTAATGAACTGACTACCTGCTATCTTAACTATTGAATACGTCGGATCCTTGGAATGGTGAACCCTAAACCCTAAACCCTAAACCGATTCGGTACCAAGTCCTGGTTCCACCAAAACCTCGCGACATCTCGATGCCAGGCTGAATCCAAACCCCGTAGAAGAACCGTCACAATACTTTTACGGAACCCTTCGCCTTTGGGGATCCTTTAAAGGGATCTATAAGGGGCCCTTTAAGGGGATCTATAGGGTTTAGGGATCTAAGGACTCATATTTTGAGGCTTTTGGGCTTTTGGGCTATTTTGAGCCTTAGGGTTCAAGAAGCCCTTACAGGCACCACTACAGGAACCCTACGAGGAACATTTGAAGAAACCCTGAAATGAACTTTTAAACGGCACCTTAAAGGAACCCTTCAAGGAAACCCTAAACCCCTAAGCCTAAACCCTTAAGATATCTATGAAATCGAACTTGATATACTGGGATGTAGTTTTGGGGCTCTGAAAAGTATATAGGAATAGGTACCTCTATAGGAACCAAAAGGGAAATTAAAAAAGTTTCCCAAATTGCCACCTAGTATAGCTAATCTGCCAATAAGGCTTCCTTTGAGCGATCTGCAGGGGTCCTTCAAGGGTCCCTTTACGGGTTGCTTTAATATAACGTCTCCTCTAGGAGCTCCTTTAAGGTGCCCCTTAAGGGTTCCTGCAAGGGTCCCTTCAGGGATGCCCCTGAAAGCTACTGCGTTGTCCTTTAAGCCCTTAGAAAATTATTTACTATTATGGTTCTCTACAAAATAGTAGGGGAAATTGAAAAAAAAGATCCCCAAGGACAACCCAGGCTAAATAGTCCAACAAGAACTACTATTTGCTTAAGAAACCCCAAAAATAAAAATAATGAACCCTATATTACTCCCATAAGGAATATAATCTTTATTTTTTGGGGGTTCTTAAGCAAATAGTAGAGAAGCTCCAGTCCCTTTAAACCCCAGACCCAGATGCGAAACACTAGACCGAAACGTCACCCCCCAAACCCCTAAACTGCAAACCCCCAAACCCTAAACTCCTCCCACAGGGCGAGGGTGTAAGGGGCTACCCTGCCTTCAAGGGGTATGGTAAGGATGCCGTTATTTAGGAATAGGTTCTTGAGGGTTAAGGTAGGGCTTAGGGCTGGGGCCCGGGCGCAGGAGCCGCTGCGGGAGCCGGGGCGAGTTCCACGAAGACCTTTCGCAGGACGCTTCGTCTGGAGATCCGGTTATCCAGAAGGTCCATATGCTTTAGGAAATTAAGGTTCAGGGGTTTAGGGTTTAGCAGTTAGGGTACATGGGATTAGGCCTCAAAATGCCGTCCGTATTGTGGGTTTTAAGATCTATTCCATAACAGTAGTATAAATGGACTCTCTTGGTTATCTATGTTGCAGGCTACTGGCTTATGGGTTCAGGGTTGAGGGTTTGGGGCTTCTACGTAGAAGGCTACTGGGTCATGGATATAACAAGGTTGTTATATGTTATAAGGTTTCAGGAACAGGAGCTACTCATGACCCATTAACCTACCGAAATGGGTTGATATTGGGTTTAGGCAGATCCGGTAATCTTTCTAGGGAACCTCCTGAACAGGGGCCGGTGCCTCCTAGTCGGCACCCTGGGTCTCACTGTCCTTTCAGTTTGAAGTACGAAGCAGGCTGCTGGGTTCTTGGTATGACGAGCTTTGTTTTATACAGTGTAAGGAACAGCAACCCGCTACATCGGCATCGAGGGCTTCGTCCGGACATGTTTTAGCGAGTCTACAGTCTTGAAGGGATTGATTTACAAGGCTTAGGCAATGTTTGGCGGCACTTCGGGGTCCACGGAGTCCAAGACGCGGAGCCCCAGCCGAACCCCTGCAGGGAGATCGTCCCGCAGGACGAGGTCCACCGAGGCATCGCGGACTTCCTGCTCACACTGGCTGCGAATCGAAGCCATGCCGCCGCAAGCTGGCGCGACTATTCAACAGCAAGGCTTTGTGAGCGGACACGTCCAGCAAGCACTCTCTTGAACGCAGACCGCAAGAAAGACACTCCTGTCGCGGTGCACCGAAAGCTGCGACAAGGCTGCTGCCGGTAGAAGATGAAGCGGCCCGGATCCTGCTGCCCCTTGCATATGGAAATACTCCTATTCTTCAGCCACAGTAATGTCTTAGAAGCAGAACATCTCCGAATGGAATTTTCATTCCGGTTTAGGGTTTCTTGTAAAAAGCAGGAACTCAGGTGGAGCATCTCCAGAGTAGTCGGAGGGATACACGTCAACCTGCAGCTGCGGTCAAGCGAAGATCTTCAGACAAGGCAGGGTAAGTGCCCGGGTGCCCCTAAACCCTAAACCCTTGAACCCTACCTATAGTCTCCCTGGTAGCTCCTTTTTTTGGGGTTTAACCAGTTTTGTATTAAGGATCCTAAAAGGTAACCCCAAAAAAGGAACTACAATGGAGACTATTTGTAAGCCCTATACGTCCGACATTCCCAACAACTGCACTCATGCGGCTGCCAAGACCAGGCGCTGAGTCCAAAATAAACCCTAAACCCTATAGATCCCTTTAAGGAACCCTATAGATCCCTTTAAGGAACCCTATAGATCCCTTTAAGGGACCCTATAGATCCCTTTAAGGAACCCTTTAAGGAACCCTATAGATCCCTTTAAGGAGCCCTACACTTCTCCGGTACGAAACCCAGGGTTCACAGTGTTGCCATACTGCTTGCGTTTAGGGTTTAGGGTTTAGGGGATGAAATTAGGTCCCGTAAGAGTTTAGGGTTGAGGGCGTACGGAACCCATACTTCATAGTGTTGCCATGCATTCTTCCTCAGAAATTTAAATCGCATTCTGGCTGCAGTTGGTCAGTCATCCAACACCCACCCCTTCAAACCCCGAACCCCCAAGGTACATTACAACCCGCGAGTCCCTGGTGTCTAAGCCTGTTTGGCTCTACATCACTAAACCCTAAACCCTCAACTGCTGATTTAAGCTTAATCTCCCAACGACAACAGCTTTACCAGCAATTTCCCGGCCGGCGCCATCGACTGTCTGAGAGAGGCGTTCGCTGCCGCCAAGAGCGGCAAGACGACTCCTCTCATTTTTGTTCCGAGCAGATTTTGGTTTTAGGGTTTGCTTAGGGTTTAGGGTTTGAGCAGCGTTTTGGGCTGACGCGGTTGAGGCTTTCAGGTAGCACGTCACGGGTTCAAGCTCTACAAAGGGGTTAGGGTGTCGAGTGTCGGGTTTAAGATCAAGAGAGGTGGGTTTAGGGATCAGGGTTTAGGTTTCAGGTTTTACCTTAACCCGGAATAACCTACCTTTTTAGGGTTCCTTATTATGATTTCTTTATATAAGTCCTTCAAAAGCTGGGTTATTCCGGCTTAAGGTATGGCTTAGGAGTTTAGGGCTTAAAGATCGGACCGTGTCTCTGCATCGCCGTGTGCGACAGCGTTGGGTTTAGGGGCCCCTGCTGCTTCCAGGGTTGCTTACTTGGGTGGTTGTCAAAATTATGGTCCCTTGGGTACCCTAAATATTAGGTGCCGTATTATAACCGGAACAAAAAAGGGACCATGATTTTGACAACCACCCACTTGGAGGATCAGGAGCTTGGTAAGTAAGGTCACAAGTACATCAATGGGGGTTGTAAGCAAGTACTTATGTATGTATGTATATACATATATATATATATACACACACACATATTGCTACTTTGTTTGAAAATATCTATATATCTATATATATATATATATATGTAGGTAGATTAATATATATATATATATATATAGCTACTTTGTTTGAAAGATCCTCAAAGCCTACTTACTAGATCCAGTGACTCCGTAAATGACCAACAGCCGATCCACAAGGCGGCTTAGCCGGATGGCCTGGAGATATCAAGTTGCTTCGATTCCGGTGGGTGATGTCCCTCTGCCTTTATCATGAATCTAAATATAGTCTAAACTAATAGATGCTTAAGTGAACCCCTCTTCCGGAACTAGTTCTGCTATGCTCCCCAAACTTGTCCGGTACTGTATCATCACAGGGAACCCTAAACAGGTTGGCTTTATGGGGTCCAGGTAGTTCCCGGAGTCCCAGATACTCGAACCCAAAGCAAAACGGGCATGTCAAAAACACAATCAAACCTTACCTGAACCCTGACAAACCCTACGTGATTAGGATTGCCTAGAGTTTCTGCATTACCTTGGTTTCCCGAATATCATCAACTTCCTGAAAAAACATGTTTTTCTTCGGCCAGGCTCCTAATGCCATTCGCTTCATTGCTTTCCCCACCCAAGCTCGGGAGGGGAAATGGCCCGCCGTCAGTGCAGCTCGGGCCAGATGCTGGGAAAGGACAGCGGGTTTAAGCTGTACCAGTACGGTGGTATTAGGGCCTGCGGTTGTAAGGATTGGGGCATCTAAGGCCTACGTCTCCTGCGCTTCGTACTGAAGACAACGCACATTCTCCTGTGCAACAAAGCATCGTCGCACGAAATGCCGGTAAGATATAGCATTGCCCCTATACCCTGCCCCTTCAAACTCCACCTAGACATTCGCCGAACTCAAGTCCTAGACCTGCAGCTGTTGCTGCAATCTGAAAAAGAAGCTACGTAACTGTAAGACCACAATCCTTCGAAGCCCTTGCGCAACTCTGCTTTCGCTTTGATGAATGCCTCGGGTTGACTCCTGCAGGGCTTACTGCCTGCATCGGAGCTGTCCCGCTTCTGCTGAGGGGTTGTTGCAGGCTCATCCTGCCAAAGGTATCGAATGTAGGCTTTATGTTTCAAAGATTCCGGGTTAGGACTTAAGGTTTTATGGGCTTGCGTTAAGGGTTGAGGGATAGTTTGTTAGCTTGAAAGCATATTTATTTGGTTCATAAGCTGTGGGTGTTGTCTCTTGGGGGCTGGAGCGCAGGAAGCGTTCGGTGTTGCACTGTTGGGTTCGCTCGACCTTGTACCTATGAAGCATAAGCTTAGGCCTTGAAAGTCGGGTTCCCATATGGCACTATAGAACCTATGTAACCATGCATATTATAAGCGCAGGAACCTTTAGAATAAAGAAGTTAGAGGGTCTGTGGCTGTTCAACTGTGTGGCTTGGCCAACAGGTCGCACGTGCAGCGAAATTCGTCGATGCGCCTTGCCGGTTGGGAGGCAAGGCCTAACCCAGACGGTCCAAGTCGTGATACTAACGCACAAAACTAACACTTCCACACCCCAGCAAGGCCTTGGGACACCTGAGAGCACACACAAGGCCTAATCTAGGGGCGTTAAAGTTGACTATTGGAATCATACTATATGGCATACTAGTACCAGTGGCCGAAAGAACTCCCGGCTTAGGGGGCCCTCTGTGCATGCCTAGATATCTGCGGATGGATGGACGGAGGGATGGATGGATGGATGGATGCATATAGGGGTCAAAAGTCAGCAATAGCATCTTGTTGTAACCGTATAAAGTTTATGCCGCATATGCTTTAAACCAAGGCCCCCCAGATGAAATCTCATGTTGAAGGATATCGTGCAGCTAACAAACCCGGATTACTGATGTAGGGCGCGGGGCTTGTGGTTCTGGAACATAGCATGTCGGACAGGAATGCAGCAATTTCGGCAAAACACTGCCCTTCCTCCTCAATCACTAGGGCAGGCGCATCTGACATATAGATCAATCAGCTACAGCTGTGGATGCCGGTGTCTGGACGACTCTCACTTGCCCTCGAATCAGAACACGTAGTTGATAGCGTCTTGAACCCTTGAGCTTTGTTGCCTTCATGACTGTACCCGTATATAGTACTTTGTAAACGATACCCGACAGTTGGAGATCATGGCTTCGTGTTTGCTACTTAGGGTTTCTTGGTTCGATGTCAACATATGACCGTTCTTGCCGAGCTCTGATGTCGAGCTGGGTTCTTGAATCTAGGGTCTTTGACGGCAATATCAACTTTTGCAATGACACGCTGTCTGTGATCCAAACCCAAGCCCAAGTGGCACACCTGCCGCCCTCCATGACGGTCCGATACTCTTTCAACCCTAACCCAACGACTCCACACGCACCCCGAGGCTTTGGTGAGGCATCTCGACAACTCTCCTTTGCAATGGTTACCTGACTTCCTGCCTGTAGGGCCCATGCCGCAAAATCTGCGGTCGCTCTAAACTCCAAGACACGAACTACATTGCATAAGCTGCAGAGACAGGTGTTGCCCAAAGCCAGAACCGACGTCATTCTCATCAGCACAAGAAAAGATCAAGCCAGGAAAGTTCAAGAGCACCGGCACCACACTGGCCATAAATGTCGCGTTTTGAAGCGGGAAGCTCGAGGCAACATGTGCCAAGCTGTCCGACAGCTATCATTAAACGGAAGGTTTGGGTACGCACACCTTGACCTACACCCTACACCCGAAGCCCTCAACTCCAATCCCCCAACCCTAAATCCAACACCCTAAATCCCTGAGTTTTAAACTCTAAACTCTATAAGCCACAGATCTGCAGTTCCACGGCGAAAGTTGGATCTCAAACGGCATTCACAACCCGGTGTGTAGGGGACCATGCAAGCGGCCCCATCTACCAGCCATCATACATACTGAACCTATAGGGTTTAGGGAACTCTGTGCGTAAGACAATACTGCTTCGGGGCGTGGGAGCCCAGGGACAGCGTGGGCAAGAAGCTCAGATTTACCATCGGCGGTCTTGAAGCTCGGAACACCTGCATCAGCTTCGTCACATCGGTAATTCTCCAAATGAGGGTCCCTTTTTAGGTGACCAAAACAGAACGGCACCCTTATCGAAAGGACCCGAAGAAAGCATCCAGATATACTACCCAGCATGGAACTAGGCCTCCCCAACAATTTCAGTAACGGTCCTTTGCCACCCGGTTTGATAGCCGATAATGGCACTGAACACAAAAGTGCCATCGAGACCCTTGATAGCCCGAAGCGCTATGTGGTCACCCACCTACTATGGGGGGAGGTGGG